TTTTTTGTATTTTAGGATAGGGTCTACAGGGAGTTCAGGGTCTCACTATTAGATCGGACTCGTAGTGATCCGCCTGTTTTACAGCCTCTCAAGAGCTGAGATTATAGGCCCCTAACCCTAACCCTGTTTTACAGCCTCTCAAGAGCTGGGATTACTGGGCCGCCACCCATGCCCAGTCTCAACTGCCTTCTCAGTGCGCCCTGCCAGCACGACAGGCCTGGGGATCGAACTCCCAGCCCCTGTGCCTTCTTGCAGGCGCTTTAATCCGAGGAGCTATTTGGCCGGCCCGGCCCCCACTGTCCCCTGATGTGAAGCGGCCTCGCCATTTGGGGGCAGGCGGGCAAGTGGGCACAGAGGTCAGATCTCAGCTGAGCCCCATCTGGAAGGTAGCACCCTCACTTCTGTCCCCGAGGGGTGGGCAACTCAGCTGCCCACTGCTGGTCCGGCCCAGGTGAACACCAACTGAGTCCGGCCTCCTCCTCCAGAAGGTTCCAGAAGTGTGGCATGGAAGTCACTGTCCCTTGATGAGACCCAGCTGCCCTCCGCCTCGGGCTCTCAGGCTCCCCTGTCCCAGCCCCGTAGTCTGGCACCCCACGAGTCTTCTCAACTGGTGCTCCTCGAGGGCAGGGCCGGCAGCCGGACGCCTGGCCCTCAGGCTCTGTGCGCAGAAAAGGAGGAACAAGATGCGCAAAGCCCTCGGGCACAGGCAAGGCAGCCTGGGGAAGCAGAGGAAAAGCCCCGCGCCTGACGCCCCTGAACTCCACAGGAAGCTCAGGGTGGTGGCAGCCGCAGAATCAAGGCACGAAGTAGAGCGGGACCGCGACCTCCGCGACGGTAAACAAAAGGGCGGGCACGTTTAAACACCTGGACCGGAAGGTGAGTTACAGACCCTCAGCCTGGAGGAGCATCAGAGGACCTCGCCTGGAATGTCAGTGCCCGCTGCACCCAGGCTGAGACCTGCGGTTGCTGAGCGCAGGGTCGGTCCCATTCCGGGGCGGGGACACACGTGGGCGGGGCGGGGCGGGGCCAGGGGAGGGGGCGGTGCCTAGAAAAGGAGGTGCTGGAGGGGGTGCGGGTGGTGAGGCGAGACCAGCCAGGCTGGGCTGCGGGGTGCGGGCACGGGACTGACCCCCGCACTCGCCGAGCCCGAGTGAGGGGCCAGAGCCCCCTGGAGTTGGGCGCCCGCGCCCCCAGACATGGTGGGCCACCTGCATCTGCAGGGCATGGGCGGCCTGAAGGAACGGAGCCGCGAGGGCCAGCTGGACAGCCCTGACTCCGGGCTGCCCCCCAGCCCCAGTCCTCCCTTTGACGCCCAGGCGCCCGGCATCCTCGATAGTGCACAGGTGGGGGGCCCCGGGGCCGCCTCAGAGCCGCCGGGACTCGGACCCACAGAGGACAGAACGGTAAGGACGCACTGCAGAAACGGGGTTGAGGGCAGTGGCAGCGGGCGGGCCTGCACTCCGTACGCCCCCAAGAAGGAGGTGGCTGTCCACAGCCGCCTCCCCCAGTGCAGCCTAACCTGAGCCCCTGCAGAGCCCGCCCCACACTGAGCGCTTGGGGTACAGGGGGTCGGTGGGGGCGGGGAGTAGCATCTGCTATTCCTAAAGGGACTGGCTGCCAGCGGGGCAGCGGGAGGGAGAGGCCAAACGTGCCGTGGACATCTGTCCCGGGGCCCCGTGCTCCCTTCTGGTCCCGTTTACTGTCCCCCGCTGCTGGTGTGAAACTTTTTTCCTAACCAAAGGCAGAGGGAACCCTTCCTCCCGGCACGGAGGGAACGGAGGGATGTTGACGTGGAGCCTGAGCGGCGCTGGGAGCCAGGACAGGGGCCCCCTGCGGGTACAGATTAGCCCTGGGTGGACCCAAGCAGGGACCTAGCGGGGCCTCTGGACTGGACGGGGTAGCCAGGGTACAGGAAATGACTTGGGAAGATGTCAGGCTTAACGGGCTGATGGTCACTGTGGTGTTCCCTGTGTGCGCCTCCCTTGCGCCCTAGTACAGTTGGTCCTGACTCGGCCGCCCGTGGAAGTCGCTTGGGGAACCCCAAAGGAATCCCCACCCTCCCCTGTGCCGCGTGTCTTTGTTGCACGCATAACCCAGCATCAGAGTTAAAGAATCTCCCCAGGTGCTTTGAACGCGAACGCCAGCAGAGCGGGGAAACCACTTTCTCTCCACTACCAAATTCCTGCAGTGAATTTGAACTTTGGCCTCTCCTTTGGAGGGCTGGGGGTCACCCAGGCACTGGGGGCTAGCAGGGGATTCACGGTGTCGGTTTGTGTGCACTGGTGTTCTCGCTGTCCGAAGGCGCCAGTTTCCTGCAGCAGTGACCCCAGGCTTGGCCCAGCCCCGCCGGAAGGGACGGAGAGGGTCTGGGTGTCCTCCTGGTCTCTGCCTCGCCCAGGAGTCTCCTTGGCATGTGTTCTGGGTGCCTCCTGTGACTGACTCCTGGGCCAGCAGTGGCAGCCACCCCAACAGCACACCTGGCCTTTCTCTTGGCTGTGCTGTGGCAGTTGGCTTTCCCTAGATGCCAGCATGGAACTGGGGCACCCTGGAAGGAAAGCTGGGGTCCCTTAGCACAGCTGATTTACCTGGCACCCCACACACACTGGAGCCCACCCTCCACGCCAGGGGTGGGCCCAACCTTTCCTTGCATCTTCTCATTTAATGTTCACAATACGCCTTTGACTGTCTGCGCTCCTTTATCCCCATTTTCTAGAGGGGAGAAACTGAGGCACACAGAAGGTTAGCAACTTACCCAGAGTGGCTGCAGCAGCAGGTAGGTGGCCTTGCTGGGACAGAACCCAGGGACGCTGACTCCAGAGTTTGCCCTCAAACCTGATGTCCTCTCACCTTTCACTGTATGGCTGATTACTTTTTAAAAAAAATTTGAATAAAAATAATAAAATGTCTAGGTACCTATGGAGCTTAAGATGCTGCTTTTAATAAACAGACAGTGAGTAGATGCCATGGCAACCCCCCAGGTGTAGCCACCGGCTCCCCCGCCCCATTACCAACACCAGGGCACTGCCCTCCCTGCCACAACAGCTAAGGGCTGCCAACCTGGGGCTCAGAACAGCCCGTCTTGGGGGTCTTCAGCCTGACGGTTTCAAGTCCACCCAGAGTCAGGTGATGAGCTGGGCCAGGTGTCTTTGGTGTTGCCTCTCCTGGCATGGCCTCTGTGGCGTGTGTCATTTCATCCCAGGTGGACACCCAGTCACAGACACCGCCTTCCTCATCAGAATCAGTGGCACCATCCCCACCAGGGGAAGGGTGCAACCCCGTCCTCTGCCCCTACCCACCAGGTCCTCAGCCTGCGTCACCCCTTCGCAGTCCCAACCCTGACTGCTGCATTAGCGTTCACGTCTCCTTGCAGCTCTACTCTAAGAAGTGTCATGACAGTTTTCCAAGGACGCGCGCGGGGCAGTTATCAGCACATACTTGTGCTGTAGTCATGCTGGGTGGCCAGGGCGGGGGCATCACCTGCCGAGAGGAAGGCTGAGGAGAGAGCAGGCTCTCTGCACGGAGCTCCTGTGGCTCCATGGTCTCGCCCCCAGCTCATGTGTCGCTCGCCTGCAGGACTCGCACCTTCCTCCAAGGCTGGCATGTCAGAAGAGGCCCATACCCTCCAGCTGCTCTGGAGTGAGGGAGGGAGGGAGGGGGAGCCACCTTCAAGAGAAAAGGGCCACCAAATGGGCCAGAAGTCACTCTGCCCTTTGCACCCTGACCTTAGGTGGTGGCAGTCTCAGGTGTCCGTGTGCCAGGCCTCTGTAAGGGCAGTGATAGCTCTTTGGGGACAGGAAGTGGCCACTGTCTCTGAGCCACCAGTCTCTGTGAGCTTGGCCTTCAGGAAGGAGCACAAGGAGGGGGGTTGTGGTCCTTGTGTGCTATACCAACGTGGCCCCTTGCGGGCCTATGATCTTGCTTCCTAGGGCTGTGACCAACTGTCGCACTGGTCATAGGACACCAGACAGCCACTCTCATGGTTTCAGAGGCTCAAAGTTGGAAAGCAAGGAATCCTGGCTGTCTCGGGTTCTTTGGCTTATAGAGGTGTCGTGCGGCCCCCTCCCAGCTTCACTTGGCTTTGTCCTCTGTCTCCTTCTCTGACACAGTCCACTCTATGCTGGAGCTTCCAGGCCCTGCCTTGGCTGCTTCGGCCTCAAAGCCATCTCTGGCCATACGGAGCACCTGGCCTGGAAGGTGTTTTGTGTAACTGTGATGGTCTCTTCGTAGAGGACACTTGTCCCCTGCTAGAGGAGTCCCTGACTGTGTTGTCCTCTCCAGGAGCAGTGGGGGGACTGCACAACACCACTGTTGGCTCGGCATGTGTTCCTGCCCGGGTAGTCCAGAACTGTGGGCAGGCGGGGCCGGCAGCGCCTGGCACGGAGCTCTGCCTTATCTTCGGGCCACTGGGCTGTGGCTTCGGGCACTGTGTGTATATCCACGCTTCCTTCCAGCCAGGCTTTTACCTTGTCCTGGGCTCTGGGGAGCGCATGAATCACCGGTGGGGTTGGCCGCAGCCTGTCAGTGCTGTCTGCCCAGGGGACCACGGGGTTTCTGGCTGCCCAGCCTAAAACAAACTCTCAGGGAGGATCTGGGGACCTGGGGAAGGAGAAAGTTAGAGACTGGAGATCCCAGCCTGTTTGTCCCCTGTAGCCCCTGTACCAAACTGCTTGGGGACCCAAGCCCCTGGAAGCCCCAGCCTGTGCCCCAGGCCCCTCTGCAGACCTGCCCCCCATGAGTCTGAGGCAGCGGGAGGACACAGCGCCTAGGACGGAGGGGTAGCACAGGACCTGGCCCAGGATGTCAACGTAGGAGAACCCTGGAAGTGCTGGAGAGAGAATCATTTTTATAAATACTGAGTCATGGACCCCAGCGGCTGGGGCCAGCGCTGACTGAATCGTGAGCCACGTGGAAGAGGCTGTGGGCTTGACTCTCTGGGCCTTGGGACAGCCACTGTGAAGCAAGAACCCGAAGCGCAGGGTCCCTAAGAGCCAGGTGACCCCTCTTTGTCCAAGAATAGGGTCCCTTCCTTGTGTGGCTGTCCCCTTCTCTGTCCCTCCCCCTCTCCCCTGCAAGGAGCCGGGAGCCACAGCCCCATTCAAGATTCCAGCTCGCTGAGGAAAACCCATTTTAACTAAGCCCAAGAATGGTCCCTAGACCTGGGCCTTGCCTTTCCTTCTGTTCTTGTCTGGATGTCACCTGTCCTCTCTGAAAGGACACTGTCACTGGTGCTGGCCCCTCCCCGTCCATGAAGACCATACCCCGAGACCCATTCACAGGTTCTGGTAGACATGATTTGGGGGCGCTGTTCAGCCCAGGAACCCCATCTCTACGGTCCTTGTCTTGCCTGCTGTGGTTCTCACAGTCATCTGTGGGGCCGCCCTGTCCTGTTCACCATGTCCCCACACATGCCTGCGCCCCATCCTGTCACCCCCTTCCTCACACCCAGGCATGCAGAGCTGGGCCATGGCTAGGTGTCTGTGTGGTTCTGGGGTACGGGGGCCTCGAGGCTTGAGCTTTTGGAGTGGTTTTGAGGTGGGGCTGGACTTTCGCTCCCAAGTGAGACTTATAAATCAGACAATAAGAGGAGAACTTGTAATAAAACAGAACACGACACTAAAATAAAATGACTTAAAATTTACAATGCTTTTCAGGCCAAAGTTGACCTTTGGCAACTCAAAGTGGGGCCTGAGAAGGGGGACACTTCTGCTGTCTCCTCAGCTATCCTGGGGCAGGGGAGGGGGAAGGAGGCCCTGAAGTGCAGTCTGGGGTACAGAGCCTTTAGGAGGGAAGGATGGTGGAAGGGACAACAGAACTGTCCCCGCCTTGGCTTCAGGCTGGGCCACAGGCACAGGGCATCTGTGTTTTCAGAATCAGTCTGAGGCAAGACTGGCAGCTTCAGGCATGGCTTGATTTGGGCCACAAACAACACAGGCTGTCACCACCTCAGATCCCTGTACTTCTTGGTGTTGCCTCTGGCGGCAGTACCACATGGGCAGGGGATGCTCTGGCTCCTCGGGCCCCAGAGCTTGGTGTGGCCAGGCTGTCGCCAGAGACCATTCCTAGGTCTCCTCCCAGAGACGTGTGGGGCCTGGGGCCCGGGCTGGGGCTGGGGAACAGCGCCAGACAGGCTTTGGAGACCTGAGGCTCCTGGACCCCAGGACTGCGTCAACCTGTCATCTGTGCCTCTCTCCACAGCCCCATCTCCCTTGCCGCAACGCCTCCCTACCTGAGATGAGGCCCCGGATGCTGCCAGTGGTGTTTGGGGAGACCATCGAGGTGGACCCGGAACCCCCGCACGAGATCCGGTGAATGGGCTGAAGGGGGGTGGGGACCCGGATGTAGCCCCATGGTGGGTGGGTGCTGGGTGATTTTCTGGGGGCCCCGGAAGTGGCTCACAGATACCACCAGTCACTGCAGGCCGCTGACTTTCTGGAAACCCTACCTGGATACAGCCACAGGAAGAGCAGAAGCCCTGTACACCCCCAGTTACCAGCGCTGCTGCGCCTGGCCTGGGGTTCCTACACTGGCTCTGCAGATAGGGAATTCTGGGGACTCATTACAGAAAAGGTTGGTGACACCTTGCCCTTCAGCCCCAACAACACCGCTACCCAATCCCCCTTCCTGCCTACATCTCACCCACTTCCCCAATACTTCCCTTTCTGCCTGCTTTTAACCCAGTCGGGGCCCAAAGGAAGTCATGTGGCCTCTCCCCATTTTTTTCAGGTACTGGGGGTTGAGCCCCAATAATGCACTCGGTGCAATGCGCTCTGTGTCCAGCCCTCTTAAAAATTTTTTTGAAATAAGGTTTTGCTAAATTCGCTGAGCTGCCGGGGCGGAGCTTGAACCTGGTATTCCTCCCTCCTGTGCCAGCACGGCGCTGGGATCCACCACAGGCGTGCGCCCGTGCTTGTCTCTTCCCTTTATCCTGCTCTGAGCTGGATCAGGGCCGCAGAGTCTCTGGGCCCCTGCTGACCCCGGCGTCTCAAGGTCGGGGAGCCATGGCGCTGAATGTGCGGCGTGCGAGGGCACCAGGGTCCTGTCCCGGCTCACCGAGGTCGCTCTTCCCTCCCAGCTGCAACTCCGAGCTAAAGTACGCGTCTGAGAGGCACTTCCGGGACAAGGTGTTCTACGCGCCGGTGCCCACGGTCACAGGCTACAGCGAGACCATCGTGGCGGCGCCCAACTGCACGTGGCGCAGCTTCCGCAGCCAGCTGACCTTAGAGCCGCGGCCACGCGCGCTGCTCTTCCGCTGCACCACCATCATCTTCCCCAAGCGCGCACGCAGCTCCTTCCGCACCACCGTGCACTGCAGCCTGGGTCGGCCGCGGCGCTCCTTCACCGCCAGCGTGCAGCTGCGGCTGTGCGGGGCTCCCACCACACTCTGACAGTGGCCAGCTAGGCTGGGCTAGGCTGTCCTGGGCGTGGCCACAGTGTCCGGGGTGGGGGACCCGGCCCTGGGGCCAGGGCTCAGGCGGGCGCATGCGCTGTGGCGCTGACCGCCAGCACAGAGAACTTCGCTACCTGAGGTGCCCTTGAACCCGGGACAGCCCCCAGTGCCCCAGCTCTAGGTGGGGGCGGGCCCTGCGTGTGTAGGAAGGAGAGGGGGACACTCCCACCGCCCCGGGGTCCCGCGGGCCTGGCCTGGCTCAGAGCAGCCGCCAGAACCTTGAACCTGGACCGAGGCAAAGGCTGCGGCAGTGGAGACAGACCAGAGACTGGTATCTCACACGGGTCGGGCAAGGCAGCTGGACGGAGGTCGCTGGACAGATATTCCAAGCCTCATCTGCAGGGAGCCCAAGCCCCTTCAACCTCGAAGCCTGCTAGAAGCCAAGCCAAGAGGAGGCAGGAAACTCCCAGAAATGCTGCTGATTCCTCCCAGGGGCTGTCTGTATGCAGCACCCCACAGCTCAGCTACAGCCTCGAGAAATTGCGGAGCCCACCGCCCTCCCCAGGCCACCAGCTCTCGCCTGTGATGGAGTTGACACCAGCAGAGGGGCAGGCCTGGCAAGCTCGAGGGAGGCGCCAGGACTGCAGACTCAACGCCAGTAAGCGGCATGGGGATCAGGCACCTGCAGCCTTGGGCCGTCTGGTGGGGTACCCCATCACCGCTGTGCCCACAGTCACTTCACCTTTCCAGCCTGAAGGCACCAGTGGCCTGGGGCTGCCCCTTTCCCCTGGTAGCCCCAGAAGGGGTGAAGTGGGCACTGGGCTCGAGCCTCCTCTGTGGGGTGGGAAGGTTGCCTGCGTGGTGATCTCCAGGAGAGATTTTATTATTTGCACAGATGGTGCACCCAGCAATTCATTGTGACCAACAGGTACCTTAAGAGGGTAACAATTATCTCAATAAAATGTGCCGTCCAAAGGCTCTGTGTGAAGACCTCCCCAAACCCTACATGCCTGTCCTGCAAGAGTGGGCCAGTCAGAGGGGCCCGGGGGTGTCAGTTCTGAGGCCCAGGGATGGCCAGATGGAGGTGACAGTGTGGCTCAGACTTGTGGTCCAGCCGCACTTACCTCCTGGCTGATCCCTGTATCAGGGCGATGAACAAGATCCGTGGCCGGCCTCACACTGCCACCTAGCTACATGCCTCGGTACTGCAGGAAGGCACAGGGCCCCATGAGTGCACCGCTGAGGCTGCTCGGGACATCCCCTACACGGCCCTGAGGCCCTCTGCTCCTCTGCCCTAGAGAACCTTGCAGGGTGAGCTTGGGGCAACTTAGGGTCCCCTAGGATGCAGACACCTCTCCCACCTACACCCTCAAGATGCCAAGGCCTGGGGGCCACAGCTGGGGCAGAGGTTGGACTCACACCTCCAGCGGTCTAGGTCCCCTACCCAGTGAACCCCCAAGAGCCCATGGCTTGGTTACTCCACTGAGCAGGGTGAGACGCCAGGCCACACTCAGAGCACTGGAAGTCCTGCACAAAACCTGTTCCTGTGGCAGGTGCAGTGGCCCTCCCTACAGCACCTGAGGTCCTTGGGCTCAGTATGACCCAGGGACATCCTGAGGGAGAGCTTTGCAGCCCCACCCGCTCAGCCACGACTGTGGCCCCAGGAATGGCAGCCCGGAAGGGGTGACATCAAGGCCCTCTGGTCTCCACCCCGGGACAGGGTTGGCCCTTACGGCCCACGCGGCCGAAGCAGCTCAAGCCCCAGGTGCTCGCTTTCTCTTCCAGGAGGCCACAAAGGCTTGGGCAGTGCACTGCCTGCCAGCCAGGGCAGCACCCCTGGCCTCCTGTGCCCTGGACCAAGCACAGCGGGCAGCAGACACGCTTCCCCAGCAGCCTCAGGGCCACCCTCAGCTGGCCACTTCACACCCAGCCAGGGACAAGCTGGGCACACATGATGGGAGGCGACACTCAGGTCAGGTGGCAGGGCCTGCAGGAGAAAGGGGTGGGGCTGGGGAAGCCAGGCCTGGGGTGGGGACATCCACAACACCGAGCCACAGCTCTGACAGCAGGGCTCTCCTGGGACTTAACACCAGAGCCGTAGTGGCAGGGGTGGTGCTCAGCTTCCACCTGAGTTTAGTTAGAGCAAGATGAACGGCCCGGGAGACACTTTCCACCCTCGGACAGCACGAGTTAGCACGGCACGTGCTTCTGCGGTAGGACCTGACAGCCCAGCAGCCTTGGGCGTGGCAGGAGATGTCCTCTGCACAGCTTCAGACAACTGGAGCCAATACCTCAGCCCACGTGCGCACACCACAGGTCTCCCATGGCAACTGCCCTTGCCACAGGCGCACCCCACACATTAGGCTGTAACCAGTGGACACCCTCAGCACGGGTGAATGCCTCGCACTCGCCACCAGTGTGCCTGCCTGCTGAGACGGCATCACCACTGGAAGCAAACACCTCATGCACCCACCGCGATGTGACAGCCAGACACTCACCACGCGTGTGCGGGGGGCTGCACGCCCTAACAGGTGTGAACACCCCTGGTCTCCAGCGTGGTACCATGTGCATATCCCACCAATCGGTGACTCCGTCCCAAAGCAGCAAATGGCCTCCTTCAGTCACACCCCCGTCCTTCAGTCCCCCCTACTGGCTGCCAGTGCAGAGAAGAAATCTTGGTGATGAGTATAATTTGCTTTTAATTAGAACAACGTGTGTAAATGACAGAACGCCACCGCCGTGCGCAGGTGGCGGCCACAGAATACGCATCAAACTCATTCTGCCCAAGGAAGGGGAAGGGAGGAGGCGGAGGGCTCGTGCGCAGGTGGCCCCGGCCCTCGGCCTGTGGATGGCGGGGCCGCTGCCCGCGCACGTGGCCCCTGCACAGTAAGCGGGTGGGAGCAGAGCAGCAATAACACTGGGTGAGTCCTTCCTTGCGTAAAACATCTGAATTCATTGAAGGTATCAAAAATATACCCTGTAAACCAATACACCGTGTACACCCGCCTCTCCTTCCCACGGCTGTGGCCACCGAGGGTGTGTGGAGAGCATCCAGGTCGGTGACATCTGCTGGCCTGACCCAGCTTCCAGCAGTCCCAGGGCTGGGGCGGCCCGTGGGAATTGTGGCGAGAGCCCCAGAGGCTGGACAGGGCCCGTGTCCATCTGTCCAGAGCACTAAGCAGGATGGGAGGCGGAGGGAGGGCGCGGGGGCCGCTAGCTCAGATTAGACTTTGGTTCCAAATGTGTTAGGGGGAGGCAGTGGCGTGGAGGTGCGTGGTTGTCCTGCTTTGGGTCCCTGGCCGCCCTGGCCACACGCGTGGCCGCTGCACGCCCGCTGTATCCCTCCCTTCCCCTCCCGAGCACCAGGTGAACGTCCCCTGAGAAAGGTCATTGCACAGGGCCAGCCCGGGTGGGAGTCGTAGTTAAGGCTTTAGACAGGCAAGGATGCCGGCTCCGGACGGATGGATGCACGCACGCGCGGGTGGGCGGACTTGGGTCGGGGCTCCTTCCTCGCTGGGACGCTCTTTTGCGCTGGGAACTGGCACTAGCCATGCCGGTGGTCACTCACTGTCGGACAGCGTCTCGTACTGTGAGCACAGAAGCGGTTTGGGCTCCTCCTCCCAGGCGTGGTGGGCGCCGGCGAGGGGCCCGCTGCCGGCAGGGAGGCCAGGTGGAGGCGGAGAGCCCATGACACCTGCCTGCAGTCTCATGATCAGGGGGTTGTAGGGGAATGGCGTGGAGCCTGCAGGAAGACCAGGAGACAGCTCAGGAAGCCCCCAAAGGCTGGGCAGATTCTGGGCCACATGTTGGCCACACCAGCAACTGCCCTGGCCCTTCTGTGCAGCAGCCACCCAGAGTCCTCAGGATTGACCTCCCTCCCAAACTGCTCCAGGGCTGCTAAAGCTGAATCCTGACTACAGAAAGGAAACCCAGGTCCCTGCCCCTTCCAGCTTCCTTCCCTGGGCCCCGAAGCCCTGGTCCCCCCCCCTCCCCTGGCACTTCACAGCAGATGCGCACTCTGGGGCAGGGACAGATATACCCTCTGTGCCCACAGCCCTCCCACCCACGCCACGGCACCCACCTGCGGACGAGGGCCGGTCCTCCCATACACGGTTGGTGAGCGGCGTCCGGCGATTGCAGTCCCCCTCGGAGTGCACCGAGGAGACCGAGGGTGGCCGGTCCCCAGATGCCAGGCCTGGGGCTGGAGACTTGGCTTTACGGCTGCTGGGTCTGCCAGAGACCTTGGCCTTCCCCCCGCCGCCTGCAGGACAGGGATGGGACTGTGTTGGACAGAGACGGCAGCACCAATATTGTGGGGGCAGCGGGTCAGGTCCTGCCATGGGGAAGCCACCTGCTGCTTGGGCCCTCTGGGGAGGGGCTCTACGATGACCCCTAGCCCCAGTGAGGTCCACCAGATGGCCGGACCTGGCATGGAGCTGGAGGGAAGAGGGTCGCAAAGCCTGACTGCCCTGCAGCCCTGAGGTCACGACCCTCAGCATGACACCAGGGCTGATGACCCCTGTACGACAAGCAGGACCCCAAGGCCAAGTTGGACCCCACTAACATTCCAGAAGTTCTCAGAGCCCCAGAACCTATAGCCTTTGCTGGTCACCGGGCACTGGCCGGCTGCTGCCCCTGCACCGTGTCCTCCCAGCACAGGTGGTTCCTCTCTCCCGCCCAGTGTCCCCCAGGAATCAGCTGGTGGCCTGGCCAGGGGCAGGGTGGGGCGTGGGCAGCGGTGTCAGCGTCTGCGGAAGCAGCAGCAGCGCCAGGAAGAGGCGGACACCGGGTGTCGCCCAGCTTGGGATTAGCAAACTACAGAACAATGTCCAACACGCACGGACAGTCATAAGCTGGAAGCTCGAGGGGTCAGAGGACGCAGGAGCAAGGATTAATAACACCAGGTGGGTGGGCTGGCAGGACAGACGGGGCGGGCGGGGAGGCCGCAGACCTGGCGAGGTGAGCGCGGGGTCGCTCCGTCCGTCAGCAGCGGTTATGGGCATAGCGGCCGTGGGCAGGCTGGCACTGGCATTCAGAGGGTTAAAAGCATTGGCGCCGAGCGGCGGGGGCTCTTCCCACTGATCATATTTACCCATGAGCGCCTTTCTAATTATGGCCTCCAGCCCCATGTTGGTGCTGGTATGCTCCGGCACCGCCTGGCTTCTACAGGTCATAAGGCCTGGGATGGAGAGAGACAGACAGACGGACGACACACATGGGCCGGGCCGGGAGCCAGAGGGGCGCAGGGGGTGGGGTGGGAGGAGGAGGAGAGAGAATACACGGTGAGCACATTTCGCAAAGCAACACCTCTCGTCAATTCCCTCCCCCTCGGCCTGAGGGGGGTGGTGGCAGTGGGGGGCTCCTGAGGGCTCCCCAGAAGCCCTGATGTTCCCAGGCAGTGGAGCTGGGGAGGGGAGAGGCCCCCAGCCTCATTCCTCTCTGCTTTGGAGAGCTGGAAGCCCCCGCTTGCCTCCAGTCCCGACCCAGCTGCTGCTGCAGACCACCAAGTCCAGTGGCTACCAAGTGGGTTCAGGGGGAAGCCGGCCTGGCCGGGCAGGGTGGCTGGGATCTGGCATGGAGCCAGAGCTGGGTTCTGACAGGGGCAGGACGGGGTCTGTGAGCGGAGACACAGCCTGGCTCCTCTGGGAGCTGGGAGAGACCCAAGGAAGGACGGTGACTTGATGCCCCTGCTGGACCCCCAAGCTGGGCCTGCCTCTCAGCCCCCCATCCAGGAGCCAGAGGAGAAAGAGATGCAGAGACGGGTGGGGTGGGGTTCACGGCCATGCAGTTAGTGCATGCGAGGGACAGGGCAGGGCTAGAGAGAGCTGACGACCACGGCACCCAGCCCCAGCTGGCCTGGCCCCAGGGCAAGGAAAAAGCAACGAGGCCAGCACCCAGCCCTCAGACCGGACGCTTCCTTCCGGACCCCCTAAGCCTCTCTTTCAGTTTCCCAGGTTTCTTCTCTCTGCCTATGAGCCACGCTGGGGGACCTCTGTGCACCCCAGCCAGGCAGGGGCCACTGCACTCTGGTTACTGGGACGGACATGGCTTCAAAACCTTGTGAGGAAGCCCCAGCCTGTCTCGCCTGCCCCAGGGAGGAATCTGGGGAGCTTTACACTCTCCAGGCAGACAAGGAACATCGAGGGGCCCCTTGCCAAGGACTCGAGTGCCTGCCTCCCAGCTGTGCCCTTCAAGGCTCTGCTCCTGGCTGCCACGGCGCTGTCACAGCAGCTGTAACAGCCCACTGCGGGTCACGCCACCTCCCATGGGCATTAAAAACAAGCCACACTCACCAAGCAATACCAGGACTTCCAACAAGGGTGAACAACAAAGTTAAAATCCCACATATTTGGCCGACATAGGAAAGCAGAGTGCCACGGTGCAGCCCCAGGCCCGAAGGTGGCTGGGCAGTAGCACTGTGGGGCTATGAGCACCCCTAGGCCACGAGCCCAGGACGGGCAGAGCGGGGCTCAGGCTGACGTTTCTGCACTGAGGACCAAATGTGAGCGCCAGAGAGGGGTGCATGGGAGCTGATTATTATTATTATTATTATCAAACTGCTTTAAGGCAAAAAATAAGCTGGGCGCAGAAGCATGCGCCTGTAATCCAGCACTCTAAGGCACTGAGGCCGGGTGGCTCCAAGTCTGAGCCCAGTTGGGGAATTTAATGAGACCATGTCTCTAAGTAAAAGACGTGAAGCAAGGGCTGGGTGTGCAGCGCAGCACGAAGGTCCCGCTTCCCACCGCCCTGTCTGCACCAGATGGCCTCCGTGCCCGGCGCATGTGTCTCATTTGTGTAGATGCCGCGCCCTGGTTGGGACTCCTGCTGGAGGCCCTCATAGCCCTTGGTAAAGTCCAAAAGGCTGTCCTTTGCTGGTCATGCGCCTGGAGCTTAAGGCCCCTGGTGTCGACCTACAAGGCCCGTGAGTCCCTGCCCTCTGGCCACAGCATCCATGGAAGGACCAGTGTCCTTCATAACTCTAGGGACAGACTCCGCCAGCACCCCAACTCTGCGGCCACCGTGGTGTCAACTGCCTTGGCTGCAGGTACTACCGCGAGGGCCTCCCACGTCCTCCCTCCATGGGGGCAGCAGAAATCCAAGCACCATAGAAGTCTTACACTCCAGGCATACGTTTTATGCCCACTTCCCACGTGCACCTGCATTTGATGTGGCAAAACAAAACCCAGTTTCCCAGCTGGCCTCAAGAGCAAAGGAGCCGCTGGCCGTGAAGTTCTGCCCCCAGCCCAGGGATGTGCAGCCCCGAGTCTACCGCTCGCTGCAAGCAGGCGGCTGCGGCCTCACGGAGCCCCTCTTGCAGCCAGGGCTCTCTCTGCGAGGAGCGCACAGCTGGCTCTCCTGATGCCTGACCAGGTCCTACTGCGGGTTGCCTGAAACCAGGGGGAGGGACTGTCCTTGAACTTGGACAGTGGTGGGTGGGGCTGACCTGCTCCAGTGATGGCCGGCATGTTGAAGATCTCCGTCCCAGGCTGGCCAATATCTGCAGTGGGGACAACAAGATGGGTGAGACCCGGGGCCCACCTGAGCTCACCTGCTGGCACCTGTCCTACAGGACACCTGAGTGGCCCCCATTTGTTCCAACCCTGCAGCATCGCAGGGCTGGGGCTCATCTAGTGTTCTAACAAGCTCACTTGGGGCTGAGGCTCCTGGTCCTGGGCTGCTGGCCGGCCAGGGAATATTCCCTGGGCCCAGAAAGGGTGCAGCTTGGCATCTACCCAGGCAGCTTGGCAAAGGGACCACTTTGTCCAGGCTGTGCCTCCCCATGGACAGCCTGCAGGGTCTACATGCCAGGCACTGGGATAGGGATTCACTCCCAGCAACCACGGCAAGGGGGAAAGGAAGCCACGGGGTGAGGCTGCGCCTGGGGCCTGGTCCCAGGCCACTGTGGCCAACAGTCTCTTGCACCTGCTGTACTCAGCATGGTACTAGGTGTGGATTCTGTGCCATGGGAAAGCTGTCAAAAAAGAAGTCTGTGCCAGACAGGGTGGCACATGCCTGTAATCCTGCACCCAGGAGGCTGAGGCAGGAGGATCGGCTGAATGTGGCCTTGAGGCCAGCCTAGACTATACAGAAGCCTGGAAACCCGATGTCCTCTTACTGTATTCCGGCTCATTCCGGTTGTGGGTGTTGAGTTTCTTGTTGATCTCCTGCTTCTTAGACTTGACCATGGCGGAGTTGCTCTCTGTCAGCTTGCTGAAGAAGGCGGGCGGCTGGCTGGCATTGCCTGGAGACTTGGAGCCCATCCTGCAAGAGGACTGATGCCGGTCAGCTTACTCAGCACTGGCCTTGCATGCCTCCAAGGATGGGGTGCTCACCCCAGTGCAGACCGGGAAGTCCAGGAGCAGCCCTTTCACTCCTGTGGCCACGTCCCCTGTCAGGAGAACAGGCCCCCTGGAAACCTGGCCTTGGAAGGGCTCTGTGCCTGGGAAGTACCTGGGCTCTGTCTGGTCCCCATCCCGGTATAGCAGTGGATACATGGTGCTCCGAGGATGCCCTGGCTCTGTCACGCTCTCCGGTGGAGACACGGGCTCAATGCCATCCTCACCACTGAGAACCAATGTCTTGCTTGGCTCTGGAGACCTGGGCCGAGAGGGTTCCAAGTGTCAGAGCTCCATCCTGCAGGGGATGCTACTCCACTCTACCTGCTTGGCTCTCAACTAAGGCTGGGCCCGCAACCCTCAGCAACTGCTGCAGACTGTGTGTGGCAGGAAGATCACAAGTTCAAACCCAGCCAGGCAACCTGGTGACCTAATAAGGCTGGCTCAAAGTAAAAAGGACTGGGGGATGCACTCAGGGCAAAGGCCCAGGTTCCACCTCTCGAACTACACCACGCATGCCAAAGCTTTGTGCCAGACACAACTCCCTGGCCTGGGTGTGCCAGGCTGCGTGGAGTGCATCCAGATGTGTGCACGTGTGTGTGCGGTGCACGTGCTCCACAGGCCCCGTCCCACTGACTTCCTGCTAGCAGGCAAGTCCCTGTGGAGGCCCAGTTCCTTCACCTGTGGCGTGGGCACAACGTTGCGTATTGGCATGTGGCCTGCCAGGTGCGACAGGCCCTCGCTCACTACCCACAGTGCCCATACAATCCTATCGTGCCCAGCTTCAGCCTCAGTTTCCACCCATGTAGTGCATCAGACGGGCCCTGCCCTCTGACTGGTTCCCCTTGGCTCACCTCTTGCCCCCCTCGCTGTGTGGGGAGCCACGTGCTGGGGTGCCATGCTCAGGGGGCGGGAGGTAGAGGTCATTGGGTGGGCGGCGGAGGTCCAGCACTGGGCAGCTGGCTCCAGGGAAGGAATAGAGAGGGGCAGGCAGGGGTGTGCTGAGCTGCTGCGGGTGGTGGCGTGTGTAATCCTGTGTGATGACCTCCTGCAGACAGGGGCGGGCTCAGTAGCGTCCTGCAGACCAACAGGGTCCCTGGCCCACGGCCCACCACCCCACCCACTGCCTTCTGGGCTCCAGGGACCCGATGGCTCCCTTGGACTGGACCTGAGCGGCTTCACCCAGGGGCCTTTGAAGATTGGGGTGCTCTCTGAGCAGTGGGTCCCAGCACCTGCCTCTGGGACCTCACCAACCCCAGCCACCAGCCATTATCGGGGGTCTGGGCACACCCCTCCCTCCCAGGTAGGGGAGGAGTAGTTACACTGATATGCTGCGCAAGGGTGACCACCCGCTGGTGACCTTTGACCCCTGGGGCAGTCTGAAGCAGCGGGCTGGATGCGGGCTGGCTCTCGGGCAGCGGCCGCAGGTGCGGGAGGTGGGTGGCCTCCCCTCCAAGCTTCCCGGGGCCTGCGGGGAGAGTGGGGTTGGTGAGGGGCTGCCTCAGTTCCCCCACCTTTGTGACAGGGTCACAATGCATGGAGAGGGTACCTGGCTGTTTGTGCCGTAGCTCTCCCTCCAGGTGGCCCTTGTCTAGCTCCTCCAGGTGCTTGGGGAGTGCCTTGTCGTGGGTCAGGCTGGGGGAGCTCACTGGGCTGACAGGCTCCACCCCTTCGGGACTGTAGCTGTGGTAACCTGCACAGGACATGGCCAGGCTCAGAGGCAGGGCTGTACCAGGGTCAGGGCTTCCCTCCCTGGCCATTGCCATGGCAACCTATAAGAGCTTTAGAGGTGGGGCTGTGTCCAGGGGTGGGGCTGCCCACCTGGGCTGTCTGGGGCTCTGGGATGGGGGAAGAAGGCAAGCCTAGGTGTGAAACTAGGGAACTAGAGGGACTACGGTCAGACAGAAATAGCAAGGGGCGGGGTCTGCAGAGACAGAGTAGACAGAGCGAAAAGGGGGATGGCCAAAGGTCTGCGGGGACAGGGAGATTGGGGTCAGAGCAGAGGATGAGGCGGGCAAAGCCCTGGACCTGGCCCCCAGCCCAGCATGGGGCAGGGGGCTGTGCTCCAAGCACTCCCCTTCTTTCTGGGGTGCATGTGGCTTGGAAGAGGTAACCCCAGACTCCCTCATGTGAGAGAAGGATACAGAGTTGGGGCTCCCAGCTCTCCCCATTCCCAGACAGTGTAGGTGCCCCTCCCTTCCCCGCCATCTCGCTGCCTTGGTTTCCTCCAAATCCACACACAGCAACAGGCAAAATCCACCAACACTGAAGCCCCCCTGCATCCCCGCTCCCCGAACAAAGGCGCAAAGGGGCTGATGGGGGTGCAGTCGGAATCCAAATCACAGATCCATTCATTAAAGGAAAAAACCAAAAATCAAAAGAACAAAAAAAAAAAAAAAGGGAAAAAAAAAAATCACGATCAAACGATGTGCAAATGATGAGCCCAGGAGGGGCGGAGGCTGGAGAGCCGTTAGAGCGTGCAGACCAACAGGGACGGGCTCAAGACCGAAACAGCGAAACCAACGAAAAATAGGGGTGGGGGATAAAAAGCAAAGGTCTGGAAATATCTGTAGGCCACGAGAGGGGCAGGCGGCGGGCCGGGACTCTTACCATGGTGAGGGGAGTCGTTGGCCCGCGAACCTCCTTCTCGCGGCCCCTTATCGTGGGCAATTTGACGCATGATTATCGCGTCTATGAAGGTGGCCGCTGTCAGGGTGGTCTTACCCAGAGAACGGAGTTCCAGTTCCTGGATGGAAAAGGGTTTACTTTGAGTCTTTCCCCGGTGCGGGTCGGAGGCCGAGGTGGGCGGAGCCGGCGGGTCCGGGCTGGCGTGGTGGGGTGCGAGGCTCTTTGCCGGGGTGTGGGCGATGGCTGCGTGGCTGGAGCTGGGGAGCACGAGGGGTCGGGGCTCGGAGCTCTTGCTGGGGGAGGAGGTGGGCTCGCGGGCCGGGGGCTTGGTGAGGAAGGCATGGCTGGTGTCCGTGCGTGGCCGCTCTGTCCGGGCAACCCGGGCAGACTCCTTGGGCAGCAGGACGGGCTCCATGAGGGTGGGGTAGACCCCATCCAGGGTGCTACCCAGTGGACAGTGGGTGGTGGGTGGGAATGTGGCAGCCAGGCGGACAGGGGAGGAGGTGGCGGTAGACCTGGGGAAGATACCAGAGTCAGGCGGCTGCTGGCCAATGGGCTCCCCTGGCCTAGCACCCAGGAACGCCCAGATTCCTGGCTGCTCCCTGGACACACCTGCCCCTGGGCTCTGACCTGCCAGGCCCACCCCACTGATGCACTACCCCATCGCAGAGCCGCCTACCTCACTCATCCACTCACTCAGACATAACCTTGCTAGAGGCCAGGACCCATTCCAGTCCCTGGGAATCCGGCAGCAAGTGACAGACAAGAGCAACGTGCCTATGCTGAGGACAGGCTACACACACACACACACACACACGTGAGCACCTCACCAAACCGTGCTGACTGCTCATCGGCCACATGGCAGGGCGGGCAGGAGGGCTGCTCCGACACTAGGCGATCCATGTGTGTGCGGCCGAGAGGTCGCTGGCGCTCCCTTCTGGCCCCCACAGTCCCTTCTTCCCAACTCACACTCGGGCCCCCCAGCAGGTCCGCCCTCCTGCTCCTCCATCCAACCACACTCCCTCGCCTGCCAACCCAAGCCACCCAATCTGCACCCAGCCACCCAGCTGTCCTGCCTCTCTGAGCCACCACCTGGCTGGCCAGCCACCCATCTAGCTGGTATCCTCCTGCTCCTTCAATCCACCCACTCCTCCACCTATCCAGCCAGCCAATCTGGTTTCTCTGTCACACTTGTCTGTCCATCCATCTACTCTGTTTTTCTACCATATCCATCCATCCATCCATCCATCCATCCATCCATTCTTCTGCCTCCTTCAGGTAAACCATCCATCCACCCAGCCTGTCACATCCCCACCTGCCCACCCAAGCCTCATGCACTTGCCCACCCAACGAGCCACTCCCTGCCTGCCTCTTTAACCCATCTTTCCAGCCCTGGTCTCCCCAAGCAGCCAGGCTTACCCGCTCCCGCTGCCCAGCACTCAGTCTGCCCAGGCATCTGTGCCCCCATGCTGCCCCTGCTGCCTGCTCTTTCCCTATGCAGCACCTGTCCCCACCCATCCCTGTGCCTAACGGGCCCACCTCAGGACTGTGGGCGTGCTGGGCTCCACAGAGGTGATGATGCCCTTCACGCCGGCGTTGTGCAGCACGCTGGGCCTCTGCTGCAGGGCATCCTGGGTCCGGGGCGAGATAGGCGAGTGCTGGTGGGCGTGGGTGTGCGTGGTGGGGCGGCTACTGCTACTTCCTGTCCCACTGCTGCTGCTGCCATTGCTCTGCTCTGTACCTGGGGCCAGGTGGTGGGTCAGGAGGGCAGAGCTGCTGTGGCCGCTGGACCCTGGCCTGGGGCGGGGACGACGCCTACCAGGTCTCCAAATGGGTGCGTGCTCCACAGTGGTGGTGGACGTGAGGATGGACTTGTCCCGCTCCCGTTCCCGGTCCCTGTCCCGCTCCCGGTCGCGCTCTCGCTCCGATGAGGACATGGCAGTGGGTTTTGTCAAGTGTGCAGGGCCTCCTGGAGAACCAAGCAGAGACTTAGCGGGGCGCACAGCCACAGGGTGAGGCCCCAGGAGACGGGCAGCTACCTGGGGACAGCGGGGAGCTGCTATGGCGGCTGCCGAAGGGCTGGGGTGCAGTGGGGAGGTAGGCGAGGCGGTCCATGGCAGCGGCAGGGGCGCTAGGCGTTGGGGGCACCAGCACAGGGAGGTGTGGCACTTGGGACAGGTCGATGATGCCTGGAGGAAACAGGAAACTGAGCAGGGGCAGGAGAGAGCCGCACTACCGCCCCGGGACAGTGCCACCCCGAACAGAGGGACGCCACCAGCCACTGGAGCGCCCTGGCCCTCCTGCCTGGGTACAACGGCCTTGTAGCGGCTGCCCTGTCACAGGGCATGGCTCTTCTAGTCGCCTCCCTCTGTCCAATCCTTTCGAGTTCCCCACAGTGCCCTGCCAGCCCCTGCAGGTACTGGGTCTATCCACAGCCAGCTGGAGGGAGCCTTGAGCACTCCACCCAGAGCAGCACCGGCTGCGGGTGCCCAGAAGTCACGCGCTATCCCCTGAACATCGACGGTGGTGCAAACCAGGCACCAGCGTGAGACATCCTGAGGGGCTGCACCACGCAACGCCTGCCACAGCGCGTGGGGCCACACGCACAGCATGCGCACGCCCATCCCCCAGCTGGCTGTGTGCACAGAGGTGCCTTGTGGGCATCAGCGAGTGACGGAGCCTGGCTTTCTTGCCACATCTGGGCACACTCAGCTCTGGTGCAGCTGGGTGGCGGGCAAAGCCAGACCCACAGGTGCCCCGTTGCTGCCTGCCCGCCCACCCACCTCGAGGGCCGGTGGCATAGTTGAGTGCCAGGGAGGACTCGCGGGGTGACAGGCCACGGAGCATGTCAGCGCGCTGGGCCATGGCGGTTGCGGCATTGTGGTGCATCTGCTGTGAGGTGATGTAGTCATTGATGATAGTCTGCCGGTTCTCCAGGGCTGCCGTGTCAGGGTAGCCACGGATGAGGTACGGTGGGTACAGGTGTGGGTACGTGGGGTTGGGGGCCAGGTGCCGGGGCAGGTAGTAGGCGGCAGCTGCAGGAGGGCAGGGAGCAGGTGAGGTGACCTGCCTCAACATGACATCACCCTTGCCCTGAGCCTCCTGCTCGATACCCTGGGGCTCTCCCCTGTACAGGGGAGACCGAAAATGCAAGTGATGCTTCAACTCCACCCCCTCATGGCGGGGGCCCCGGTGCGCCCTCAGAGCCCCTGGGGCTCTCCATCTGTGGTGCTCCGGCATCCTCCGAGTGTCTTCAGCTGCACTACTGCAGCAGCTGCCTCGAGGGCCTAAGTCCACTCAAGTCACTCCCGAAGTCACCTGGACTTGGGGAGCCAGACCCAATGAGGGAGGTGGCCAGGCGCCTTTCTGTCGGGTGTCGCTAGGCAGCAGCACTCACTGTACTTCTGACTGCATAGAGACACTCAGGAAAGAGGACCCCAGAACTGTGGCAGGAAGTGGCCGGCAGGAGGGGCCCGGTGTGTGGGCAGGGAGGGCAGGCTGCAGGATTTAAGAGCAGCATGTCTTTCACTATAATAAAAAGTTTTTAAGGGGCCAGGGAGATAGCTCAGTAGAATAAGCACTTCCCTGGCAAGTGTAAGGGCCTGAGTTCAATCCCTGGTTCCGCAAAAACAAAACAAAAAAAAAACAAAAAAAAAGTTTTTAGAAACATGCCCCATGGTTTCTGATCACAGGACACACGTGTACGGGTCCCCAGGCGGGAGGCAGACACAGGCTCCCCAACACGTGGGGTCGTCTCCCATGTGTAATAGATTCTGCACTGAGTCTCCCAAACACAAGGCATTGGAATACCGATCGCTAATAACCCCAAGCAGCACGCTGTTTGAAAAGACACAGGTCCTGTCTGGGGGATGTGCGCACTAGCGCTCTCTCTTAATGTGTCTGTAATCCCTAAAGACCCCAAAAAGTCCTACAGGAAAAGAAAATCACTAAAACCTGTTTCACCTCCTCCCTCAAATCCTGCTCTAAGCCAACTTGTTCACGACCATGCATTTGGGTCTTCCTGCCCCCAGGCCTCGGGGGGCCCCTTCCCATGGGAACCAGGTGGCAGGAGCCCTGGGCCCAGCATTCACAGGGCTGCCAATCCTGCACACCACACCCTGGCCAGTCACCTGCGTCTAGAGGGATCCCTCTGGAGATGGAGGCGGGGTCGAAGGCCAGTGGGATGTGGCTGCGGTAAAGGTCCACGCCGCTCACGCCACGCAGCAGGTGCTCATAGGGAGAGATGGGGTGCGGGTGGTGCTCAGGCACGGCACTATGTGGCGACTTGGCAACCTCACGAGGCGTTGATGTCAGCTTCCGATCCTGCGAAGTCTTACTGGACAGGAGGCTGGCTGTGAGGACAGTCACAGGCAGGCTCAGCAGGGTGTATGGCCTGGCACAGGGCCACAGGGGGGAGGTGACCGGGCTCCCTGGCTCCCTCCCTCCACACGCCATCTTGCCTGCTTTCAGTTCAATTTTCCTTTCCATCTATTCGTCCTTCTTAAGAAATTCACTCACTCACTCGACTCATTCACTCATCCACTCATGCGAGGACACTGTCTGTGACTGCAGCAGTACCCGCACCCAGCCGAGCGCGGTTCACCCCAGGGGACGAAACAAACTAAGCCCTCGAGTCCCATGGAGGTCACATTCAAGGTAGGAGTCGGAAGTGAGATAGTAAACACACCGGACTTCAGTGCTAAATGCTCCAAGGGAGAACTTTAAGTGTCAGAGCGTGCACGCAGAGCTGGATGTGGGGGACTCCTACGTCACCAAAGGCAGTGAGGGAGATGGGCTGAAAGGGGCCAGTGAGTCACAGATGAGAAAGGCGGGGTCAGTGTGTGCTCACTGACAGCAGGTGCCCAGCCTGGGGCGCCCACACCCCACGGATGTGAGGCCTGGCAGGGAGTGGCCTGCAGAGGTGACCCTATGCAAGTATAAATTTGCTAGGAAAGAATGGATGGAGGACTGGCCTCATTTAATTTCTTTTCAGTTCTAGGGAATGAACCCCAGGCTGTGAACCCCAGGCTGTGAACCCCAGGCCTTCACATGGAGCCATACCCCCAGCCCTTATTTTATTTTTTATTCTGAGACCATGTCATTTTAAACTGTCCAGGTTGGGTTTGAACTTGCAATCCTCCTGCCTCTGCCTCTCCGAATGCTAGGATAACCAGTGTACAAGATCATGCTGGGCGGATTTAAATTCCTAGAAGCGTCTGCGAGTACAGGATGCTGAAGGGGCTGGGACGGAGTCACAGAGGGAGGTCGCCTGCCCTTCCACACTGCTGCCCACTCACCCTCCTGGAGGCGTGGCGTGGGCTCCCGTGTGGTCACTGGTGAGCCTCGTGGCAGATGGCTGGCGAAGGGTGCGGCATGGTCCTCATAGGTCAGAGGGCTCTGCCTCGGTTTACCCAGCTCGGGCACCACGACGGGCGCCCCACGGGTGATGGAGCCCCCAGAGCCCCCTGTGGCACCTGGCCGGCCTTTGAGGCTCTCTTCATAGCAGGCACGCTCGAGCACCCGGGCATCAGCCACCACGTCCAGCGGAAGCACAGACGGGAAGGTGCGGCCAGGGCTGCCAATGATGGAGCGAACGTCGTGCTTCTTAGAGCTGGCCGAGGATGCGCCTGTGTCGTACTTCAGCGGGGTGCCCTAGGGGTCAGAGTCACAATGAGTCAGGAGCACCCCCTGGTCACTGGAGGTCCCCAGCCAGGAAGTAGCTGCAGGGTCGTGCCACACACTCTGTCTTCCGATGCCTGGCCCTGCCTCGCCCTTTCTGCCTCGAAGCCATCACCAGGAACTGAATCCACTGAAGCCCTAAGCCACATCACCCTCCCTCAGGGCTTCTGTCCCAGCAATGGTGAGGTGACAACCCCAAGCATGCAAGAGCTACCCTGGCCACACCAGCCCAGTTGTCCCTCCTATCTGGAACACAAAAGTGACATGCTATACCCCTGAGAGTAGGGGGACCAAGGGCCCTGCTAAGAAAAGGACGCATACTCTGTCCTGGACCCAGAGCTGCCCGAGTACTGCAGGAAGTGGCAGCAGAGCGCACAGCAGGCGCCCTGCAGGGCAGCGTGGCACCCCTGCCCAGCTCCCCCAGGCCTGGGCCGTGGGCTTGGGCCCCGAGGTAGGGCCTCGGCTTTGCATTTGTTGGATTTGTAGACAGAGCCCTGGGTGCCACAGCACCCTGAGCAGCTAGGCTGCCAAAAGGACATCCTGCCACTGCCACCACCTGTCTGACGGCCTGGGGACGCGGCACAGCGAGGCCAACATTTCCAACACCTTCAAGAGATGACTTGCGCTTCCCAGTGAATCCTCGAGCGGCAGCCCAGCCCAGCCCTGCCCAGAACACAGCAGGTGCTGCCCCCGCAGCACCACAGGAGAAAGCGCGCCTGTCCCCAGCACTCTGCCTGCCCCGAGCAGCTGTGGGCCCTCTGTCCTTCCACCCGCATGCTCCCTCCTCCTCCTTCCCATCAGGCCGTGTGAGGGCGGTGGCCCTCGAGGGTTTCCGCTGACTGGCTCCTTTCCCGTGAGAATAGGTCCCCTACTGTACCAGACAGGCCCAGGGTGCCACCTGCGGTGTGGAGAAGTGGACCCCGAGGACATGCTCTGAGACTGTGCTGGGGTGCCACAATCTGCCAGGAGCTGCCGGGTGAACCTAGGCCAGGTCCTTAGTGTCTTTGAACCCAGTATGCTGGCAAGTAGAACAGAGACAGGGAGGGAACCCCTGCCACACAGCACATGTGCTGCCCTACCTGGGTGATGGAACCTTCCTTGAGCGGCCGCGGCACCAGGGGCAATTCAGGTGTGCGCCGCAGCTCCTCGCGTGGGATCTCGTGGATGGAGCGGCCGGCCTCCTTGACTGTGGCCACCAGGCCTTCGTGGGCTGGCTTCAGCTTCAGGGGACCCAGGGTGTCCAGGGACCGTCCCTTGTAGGCCTCAGCCAGGTCACGGGGTGGGGGCGGGGGCGGCGGGGAGCCCTCCCGTCTCAGCAGCTTGGCCTCCCGCCGCAGGCAATCCTCCTGGGCCTCCAGGCAGGAGCGCGGGGTTCCTGTGGGCAGTGGGAGGGCAGCGCTGACCCCAGCTCCCACACCCACCTGGCAACCCCAGGCAAGACCTCCATCCCTGGCTGGACCACCCGGAACCCCAGCCACAGCTGCTCTGCACAGAGGAAGACAGGAAATAAGGAGCTGGCACACGGTAGCCACCTGCCTGTCACCAAAGGGCACCGACAGAGTGAGATCCTGTCCCCCTTGGCTTTCAGACTGGCATGGAGCACGTGGGTGTGCTGCCAGGCTGGGGTGGTACCCTGTCGTCCTGCACACCCTCCCTGGGTTCCTTCCACACCCAAGCCAATCCAGGGCACTGAGCCTCCCATCCCTGGGTCCTGGGCAGCACCTTGCGTGATGGAGCCGCGCAGGTGATGCTGCTCCTTGAGGTGGTGCGGGCTGTGGTGCTCGGGCGGGATGGCGCGGCCCATGAGACCTGGTGGGAGAGGATGTGGGCGTGATGGCACAGCACGGGGATGGGGCCCAGGACCAAGGGAGCACAGGACCCGCAAGCAGGCACCCATCTTCCAGGGTCCCCCAGGTGCAGCCTCAGGAAGCCGGTACTCCATCCTGGCCATCCCACCTCCTCCCTCCAGGGCGTGCTGAGACAATGTCTTCCTGACCCCCTGCCCCTTGAGCTGGCAAGATGCAGGATGGTGGCCGAGTCCCCTGGTGGGGAGGTAAGGGGTGAGGAGTGGCAGGGGACAGTGGCACCCACCCTCAATGCCAGCAGAGGTGACGGCCCGGCCCACGCGGCCCTCCATCATGTCATAGGTGCGCTTGGGTGCCGTGGGCTCGTGGGTGGGTCCGGAGCTGTTCCTGCCATCCTCCTTGGAGCACTGGGACACAGACGTGGCACCTGGAACCACAAGGCACAGTGAGGGGCCTGCCTGCGTGTGTCCCACGGGCATCTGCACTGGCCAGGGTCTGAGCAGAAGGGGAGCGAGACCCTGGTGCAGGCCTGGGGGCTGTCAGGCTGGGCTGCCCCAGGACCTCTCCTCCTGGGTGCCCACGTCTGGGTGTCAGAAAGAAGCAACAGGAGCCGCAGCCTTGCCCCGAAACTAAGCCCTTGCTTCCACTCCCAGGCCTGAGTCCTGCATCTGCACCCCATGGCACGAGTGGCTCAGGATGGGCGGCAGGCACAGCTGGGCTAATGCTGCCCATGGAGCCACCGGGTCTTCCCACCAAGTCAGAGACCCTGGACACAAACAGGCACCCACACTGTCCCAGCCCACTTGCAGACAGGAGATACACAGGAAGTCTCTAAGGTCACAGCCGCCAGCACCAAGAGGTGCCCGGCCCGTTTCACCAGCACCGCGTCTGCCTGGAAGCTTGCTTCCTACCACCACACCCCCTCACTCCTCCCTTGGGCTGTCTGGATCTCAAACCCAGACCCAGGCCACCCTGACCCCAGGCAGCCGGTCTGTGCCCTGCAGGGCAGCACAGTCTGCACCTCTCACGCTGTGTCCCTCACCAACCCAGCCGCCCGCTCCTGTGACCAGGAGGCCCGAGGTGAAGGACGCTGCCACGCCTGTGCCTCCACCTCCTTTCTCTGCCTGCTCTCTCGCCCACACCTCAGACCTGGTTCCAGAAGTGCCTGCCACCCCGGCCAGGACCCCAGCCCCTCTCCGGCGGCCGAGATGCACCGGCCCTGAGGTTTGGGGACACAGCTGTGACCTGCCTGTCCCAGACAGCACAAGAGCTATCAAGGTGGGGACTGTCTCAGGTCCCCAGGCCTGGCACAGGGCTGGCTCCCAGGGAACATCGCATGCCAGATCAGCCAGGGTGCCCGGGCGTCCCAGCATCTCGCCAGGGCACAGGGACCCCAGCACAAGAAGGGGCAAGGACCCGCCTGAGCCTTGGCACAGGCCCCGCACCTGCACTCACCCTCATAGGACAGCACGTGGCCCTTCTTGCCCTCATAGATGACGTGGCCCTTGGGCAGCCCATCCTCGCGGGCGCGGTCCAGGCGGCTGGGGCTGTCCTCACCCACAATCCTGGTGATGGTGCCCTTGTAGAGCACGTCGGCCGGGGTGCCCTGCAGGGCACGGACACAGTGACCCTCATGGAGCCGGCCGAGCCCACCATGCAGCCTCGGGCAGAACGGTTCCACTTACATCCCCGAAATAACCTCAGGCAGACGCCATTCTGATGCCCACTTCGGATGGGGAAAATGGGGCATGGGAAGTGGTTGAGGGACTTTGTGAAGGTCACCTGGCTCTTGTGGGCCAGAAATGAGACCCGATCCACGTGGACCAGGTCAACACTTTCAACAGCCTGTATGCTAAGTGCTGGGGGCCAGCTACCACACACTGGATCGCCCAAACCCCGACCAGGTACCCACTGCAACGGGCTTGGAAACTCAGCCCTAAAGTGTCCCAGCCTCAGCACCGGAGTCTCTCTGCGGGGGCTCCCCTGCCTGCATCCTCCAATGACCCCAAGCTGTGCCACCACATAGCCAACACCACCCCCATGCAGAGGAAGCAAGCACCCCGCCAGGAGATGTATTCAAGCCAACCACAGGTGGCCACGTGGTGACTTCCAAGAACATATGTGGGTGTGGCCAGGATGCAGCTAGCTCCGCAATCGGACAGCCAGGGACCAAAAGGCAGCCCCTGCCCACATCTCAGTGGCCTCTGTCAGTCACGCCCTTCTCTGGGCCTCGGCTCGCATGTTTATAGGATGAAGGCTGGATTCTGTGTCCCAAATCTGAGGCCCCTCTGCCGTCTGTCCAACCTCAGGAGCAAATGGGTTGCGTGGGCCCGTGCTTGGAGCCCAGCCCTGTCTCGAGTCATGTCCTTTAAGGACTGAGGACCTGCCTGCACCCTCAGTCTCCTCCAGCCATGGTGGAGGTTACCCTCCCCACCGCCTAAGTGACTCCCAGGCCTTGGAGGCCAGAGCACTCAAATGGCACCACTGTGGCTGCTCCTTCCAAAATCACCCTGCTCAGCCACCACCTGGGTGGCAAGGGCTGAGCCTCGCCTGGCTCCACATGGGACAAGTGCCAGCCCGTGTGCCTGCCGCCTGCTATGCGTGGTACCTACATGGGTGATGGAACCACGGTAGCTGCCCGGGTTCTCAGAGGGCGCCCGCGTGCTGGGGATACCCCGGGTGATGCTGCCTCCAGGCACGGAGCCCAGAGCTGTCCCTGGAAGACATGAGACGCGGGCGTCAGGGTCTGTGCCCTTCCCCAGGCCCCGGGCCCAAGAGCCACCCCAGGTCTCACTCAGGTCTCTCAGGAGCAATGGCTGGGAGGGGCTCCTGTGGCCTTCAGTGTGACACTGCCCACAGGGCTTGGAAAAGACCTAATGTTGACCCCACCTCCCAGTTGCAGGGACAGGAGTGAGGCCTCACCTCGTAGTACGGATGTTTCCTGGGCTGTGGGCACACCCAGGCTGTCAGGGGGCCCAGCCTGGGCCCGGGGGGACAGCTGCTCCTGCTTCACTCCACTGAAGGGTGCTGGGGGCAGCAGGGGAGGGATGAGTCCACATCACAAAGCAGGGAGCCCTCTCCATGTCACCACTATGGCTGGGAGTCCCAGCTGTGCCCCAGGTCCACCTCAACCCCCAGCTGGACCCCCGAGTCTCGGCCCAGGGCCTTACCCAGCTTCTTGGGGTCCATGGCAAGAGGCAGCCCCATGGTGACGGGGCCTACTGGGGCCTTGGCATGCTCAGAGTAGGGGACGTGCAGCTGGACCGACACTCCCTGTGGGCAGAGGGGGTCACAGTCCCAGCCAGGGCAGCCCACAGCCCCTTGCTGGAGGATGCTCAGATCGGAGCAGGCAGCGTGGGTTGGGCTCTGCACCACTGCCCCCCTTGTTCCACAGAGACACAGAAAGGCAAAGCCACTGGCCTGTGGCCACCGTGGGCCCAGAGCCTGTGCCTGGGCTGCCTCCCACGGCCTGGAGCCAGCACCCAGTGGGGAACAGTAGTGTTCCCGCCCTGCCCCACCCCGCCTCCCCTTGACTGCTCACCTGGGAGACGGCGCCCATCTGCCGCTCGAGGACCCCAGGGTGCTTAGCGGAGGAGATGAGGGGTGGCGGGTTGGAGATGGTGGGTGGGCGTGGTGGGCCTGGCCGGGCGCCATCATGCAGGCCCAGGGGCAGTGGGTGACCTGCAGGGTGAGGGGTTGCCTGTAGGGGCCACTAGGGGCGCCCTGTATGTGCTTCTGCACCCAGCCTGGCCACCAGGTCCCCACTCGAACTCCAGGGGCCCTGGCCACTCCTTTGCCCACTATTCGCAGCCCCCAGCCCATGTCCCTGCTCCTGCTTCACCCCAGGAGCCCATTCGCTCATGGCTCACACCCCGCCTGCTGCTTTCCCAGCAGAATCACTGAATGGTGAGTCCCACAATGGCTCCCTGGGCCTCCCCTCCGATCCTCCGCCACAGCAGCCTGGCTGGGTCGTCACCAAGCTTCACCTACTCCGTCCAGCCTCAGCCCTGGCACACGCCAGGCAGGGCTGCCCTTCCTCTCCTGTCTGGGTCTGCCCCAACGAAGCCCAGCACCCAAGAGAAGCCGGATGCCTTCCGATCTGCCTTCACAGCACATTCGATGAGCACCAACCGCCCATCCTGGCTCAGCGCCATGTGGGGAGGGGAAGGATGGAGCTGAGGTTGTCAGAAATCTGCAGCATTCGTGGATGGGACGGCGATGGGGAGCCAGAGGTGCCCGAGCTGGCGAGGCGCAGAGCAAGCTGTCATCTGCTGCCAGCACTCTTGAGGCTGGACGTGGTCACCAAGGAGGTGTCGGGGCCGCAGCCACTCACCAGGGGGTGCATAGGAGAAGGCAGAGGCAGCGTCCGGGGCATGCGGGGAGGCCTTGATCACCTCACGAGGGGGCATGGGGAAGGGCAGGCCTGACGTCCAGCACGTTGGCTCTGTGGGCAGCTTCTGGCCCTCAGCCGCAAAGGGCGGGAAGAACGTGGGCTTCTCTGCTGGGGACACGAAGCGGGCACGAGATCAGGTGGGGCCCAGGCCAGCAGCTCCGTAGGCCTGTGATGACCTGGGCACTGCCCAGTGCTCCTGCAGTGCTCCAGCGACACAGGAACGTGTCTTGGGCAGTGCTGGGGCTCTCAGCTGCCCCTGAGGTCAAAGAACGCAGTGCAGACGTGTTGGACCTGACTGTAACCTGGCTGCCAGGGGCGAGCAGAAGCCTGGCCCCGCGGGCCACTGCCATCGCGGCTCCTCCACCACCACCCCTGGGCCCAGTGTGCAGGAAGGAACAGCTGAGACGTGGACACAGACATCCTCTGGGAAACACAGTGCCAGCCCTGGGGGCAGGTCCCGAGCCACCTCCAGGGACCCAAAGGCAGCTTCGGGGCATAGCAGGAGAGCACAGAGATGGGAGTGCAGCTTTAGCCAGAGCCTCTGAGCTACCCAAGCTGTGCCGAGGGGCAGGGGCAGGGATTCCCGGGCGCGGAGACCTGCATTCCCTGACAGCCCCCAGGAGAAGTGGCCTTACTGCAAAGCCTAGCGGCCCCATGCTCTCCCGGTGTGCTTGGGCTGGATGGTGGTGGGCAGAGGGACTGGCCGGGCAGCTGAGGGGCAGCCTGCTCCTCCAGCAGGGCCCAGAGGAGCTGGGGAACCCGCCTGGCAGAGCCACGGCACATGGAAGCCAGGCAGGCACTTCTGGAGGGTGCAACAGCAGAGCTGGGTGTGCCATTCAATGTCCCTGGAGCCAGAGCAGAATAGGCACGTGACCAAGGCGTGGAGCCTGAGGCCAGGTGTGCCAGCCCCAGGGGAACGAGTCCAGGAAACAGCTGGTCAGCTACACTGCTATAGCCTCAGGGCTCGTAGTCCTGGAGGGTCTTTCTGAGCCCGTGTCCCGCTGCGCCAGCCCCGTGACGCCCACCCCTCACCAGGATGTCCTGGCCCCACTGGCTGCACCTCTGCAACACATTCCGAATCTGCCCCCTCGGCCACCCTGGAGGCCGGCTGCCTCCCTTGAGGCAGAAGGCCCTAGTCTTCTGTTCCCACGCTCCAGTCCCTGAGGCACCCCCTCACTTTGACAGGAACCAGAGGTTTCGAGACGTGGAGCAGACCGCGCAACGCTCTCACAACACATGCGCAGTTAAAGCCACCAGCAGCGCCTGCTTGTGGCACACGCCTCTGCCACAGCCCGGGGCCCCGCACACCTGCCTCGATGCCACCTGTGCTGCTCTCAGCCTCCTCTCCCGGCACCTCCCTCCCAGGGCCTCTGTTCCCTCCATTCTGCTGCATGCAGCACCACATGCCTTCTTCCAATGCCTTCTCCCCAGCCCCGTGCCTGCCACCGCCCAGGGGCAGAGTCCCCACTGCCCAGCTCAGTCCTCTCAGGGGGCCCAGGCAACCCCAGGTGCTGAGAAGATGCCTCTGTGGGAGGCTTCGAACCTCCTGCAGCAGGTGAGGGGCCAAGGTGGGTACAGCCCGCTCTTGGTCCAGGGACAGGTGTCCTGCTAGAGGTACAGGGCCAAAGCGACCAGCTGGTGCTTGGGGCAGCTGCTTAGGCCCCGGCTGCTGGAACCCAGGATTCCAGCCCAGGGTCCTGCTGTTCTTGGATGCCTGTACCAGCTGGCAGCGCCTGCACAGCCCAGGAGGGGCTTGTGTGCCAAGCTGACCCAGGCAGGTGACCTTTGGGGATGTAGGCTTGGGAGGTCTTAGGACACCAGTGGGCCAGAAACAGCAGGTTTGAGTAACAGGAGCTTCACGCAGTGACTCAGATGCTGCCCAGGGAACCTGGCGGCCTCAGCCAGAGCACAGCCGAGGTGATCGCTTCCTGTCACTGCCATCCTGACCCCCCCAAGGGTGCCCCACCAAGCCACACTTCTGGGGCCAAAAGATGGATTCGCTGAGCCAGGGGCCCACCACAGGCCACACACGGCCGTGGCACGCCCCATGCCCAGCCCACTGGCCCCCAACACACTCACCCTCCTTCTCAGCAGGGAGCACAGGGCTCCTGCTTCTGCCCCGTGGGCTACTGCTGGGCTGCTGGGCAGTGTCACTCTCAGGCTGCAGGTGTTGTACAGGGGCTGGGGGGACAGGAGCCAGTGGAGGGGGTGCTGTGTCCTCCCGGGAGGGCTCATGGGCCTTGGTGACCTGTTGGAGGGGGCAGGTGTGTATGGCATGTCACAGACATCAGTGTGTGCCCACGCAGCCGCCCAGAAACTCTGCTCACTGGTGGGGGCAGGGGTCTCCACACAGGGGGAGTCACCCACCTCAGACCGATGGGCCCACCCTAGTTGCCCAGCTTCATCCCTGTTCCCCAAACCCCTAGAATACTCAGATGGCTCCACTCCGGGAAGGCACACCACAGGTCAGAACTGGGGTAGGTGTGGGAGTGAGCTCTCCTACTTCTAGCTAAGAGACTCTCCTGTCTCCTCCCCTCCTGCTGGGGGTCTCAGAGGCCCCTGGGGTGGAGGTGGGTGAAAACCTGCCACCCCCCCACTCAGGCTTCCTGTCTCCACACTCTTCTCTTGGAGTAGAAGGCTGAAGCCCCTGTCACCCTGCTGTGCCTGGACACTCACAATAGGGGGGATGGCAGCCGCCCGCTGCTTCAGCTGCTTCAGGTCCAGTGGTTTCTGGGGCGAAGCGCTGGCCCTGGGATCACCAGCTGGGGTAAGGAGGCTGGGCCTCGGGGACAGCAGCCTGTGGGGATAGGCACATCAGGCCGGCGTCCTGCCCCTGGCAGCTCCAGGCTCATCATGGGGCACCCTGGGGCAGGGGCCAGTCTGTGCCCTGACCCTGGACTGGGAGCAGTCAAGAGAGGCGAAGAGGCGGGAGGAGGAGGAGCTGCAGGAACTGACTGTGAAGAGTGGCGCTCTCCTCCGGGCCACGCAGGCCCCACCAGGGCCAAGAGGGCCTGCAACCCAGCCAGAGCCCGGAAGCCAGGCGCAGCCAGGGGCCCAGGCCGGGATCCAAGGTCCCCAGACAGCCTGGGTGAGGAAAGGCCCAGACAAGCCAGCGCCTGCGTCTACACCCAAAGACCTCCAGGGGCAGCTGGAGGGGGAGGGGAGGCTCTGGGAAGACATCCCACCCAAACCCTCAGCTCGGCGCTGGGGCAGGGCTTCAGGTTCCCCTTACAGGGGAGAGGTGGCAGCTGCACCCCAAGCTAGAATCCTGCACCCTTGCCCACAGGAGACAGAGGGCAACAGACTTCCTGTGGCCTGGGGGGCAGGGGTGTGCAAGGTCACACGAGCCACCAGGCCCCAGGGGATCCCACCTTTAGGACCCCTTAGAGATTTCCAGGAAGCCCGGATGCAGGGCACAGTACCTCCACCAGGGGTGCACAGAACTGGCCTCCACCCCAGGGGCCTGGAATCCAGCCAAGGGCACTGCCAAGGCGACAGGTGCTGACACACACACACACACACACACACACACACACACACACACACACACGGCAGGCCACAGAAGCGGTGTCTGAGGCGAGCACTATAACAACCAGGACACAGAGCTGTACCACCTCCCGGCAGACGGAGCAGGGCTGACGTGGGGTCTCTGGAGCCCTGCGGGTGCCCGTCCGCCCCCTCAGCCTGCCAGGACCATGGCATGACAGCCCACTGCTGCGGGTACCAGCCCCCCACCCACACCTGCCACATGCTTAGCAGAGCGGGAACGGCAGAGAGCGCGGGGGACACCCGCTGAGGCTGTCCACGGCGTGCAGGTGGGGCTGGACAGAGGAAGGTCACCCTGACCCCTGCGCTGCCAGCCTCTGCCTCACCTGCCTCCCTCCTCCTTCGGCTCTGCCGTCCAGATCCGGCCATGCTTGGCTTCAGACAGCAGCATCTCCTGGCTCACCAGCCTCAGCCCTACATTTGCTGCCCTCTGACCAAGGTGCCCAGAGCTGAGGCCACAGGAAACACTGTCACCACCCGGGGCCCACTGTCCTGGGTCTGAGGCTGCTCTCTTCTCTGCCTGCTCACCGTGATCCATGGACTTAGCAGGTGCTACAGCCCACAGCTCCGCAAAAGCCTGGTTCTGCAGCCCCTGCAGCCGGGGAGCCATGCCTCGCTGGACTGGGCTGGAGAGGGCACTCCCAAGCCATCCTGGAAGTTCCTTCACAGTTCCACAGCCAGCGAGGATGCGACTGGGAAGACCACAGGCCCGTCTCTAAGGTGCACAGACGTCAATGTCCTCGAGGAGACCTCAGGGCCCAACCAAGCAGCCTCCCCCCAGGGAGGTTGGCGGCTCAGCACAGCAGACCAAGGCCGAACTCATCGCACCAGCACCCCGATACATGCAGAAAAAGCCTCTGACGAAATTCAACATCCATCCATGGTGGGGAAAAAGGGAAGGCAGTAGGTACAGAAGGACCTTATGTCAATCTGGCAAAAGCCATTTTGGCCAACCCACTACCAACATCCTATTAAGTGGAGAAAAACTAGAGTTTTCCCTCTAAAATCAGAACCAACCCAATATGCCCACTGTCACCACAGCTGCTGGCCAACATAGCATGGACAGAATCAGGGCAATCAGGCAACAAAAAGCGAGGAGACATGTACAGGGAAAGGAAGAAGATGAACGATCGTTATCTGCCATGATGTCATTTGCTGCACAGGAGAACTAAAACAGCCACAAAACGACCAATACAATTAAAAACCAAATTCAGCAAAACACAAAAATTTAAAATGCTGAACCTACTGCGAAGACGGGGAAAACACCACTCAGAACAGCACCGAAGAAAATGAAACACTCAGGAGTGAACCTCAGTGAAAGACCTCTATAACGAAAACCGCAGTGTTCTGAAAAAGGAAATCAAAATGGGCATCAGGAGATGGAGAGCTACGGGGGCGGGGGGGGGGGGGG